GTTGTATTTTATTATGCCATTAAAACGATTAAATTGTGAGAGTTTTACAGAGGGAAACTTTGATGGAAATCTTACTTTTTCTATACCTGTCGTTAATGACTCACCACTTTGAAACAGGTAACTTACTGCATTTCAATATCTTATGCCGTTTGCACATAATATATGTTTAAAATCAGAACGGGACTTATGGACACCCTGAACAATATATCAAGGAGAAAAGATACCATAGATATCAAGAAACAGAATCTCGTATAGCTATCCAACTGCAGGATAACCTAACACAGGATAATTATCAAAATGACTGGATAACACAACAGGAGGAGGTACCTGGACTTACTCCTCAAAAGAGAGTTAAATCAGATGAGGTAGTTTGTGTGTCTATGTGTGTGTGGGTGGGGGAGGGATATCAACCCCTATGATGGTGTGCTTGAAGGGAGCTTTTCGCAAGAACGGATATGGTCCTTTTTTCATGTCCACCCCTGGTTGGCACTCGTGGCGGAACAGGTCACTTAGAGGACACGTACAGGAAGGGGGAAAGTCTGTCTAGATATTCACCGGTGTCGTAAACGATATTCACAAGGATTTTAGCCGAGATTAGCAAAGAGTTGTGGGTAATAAAAGCTGTACGTATAATATTCACGAAGTTTTGGGCAGTAACCGTAGAGGATTGTTGATGTGTAGTGACTAGTATTGTGGCTTATTCATGGTCGTGGAGTGTTTAACATTGTAACAGTATTATTGCCAAAAATAAAGGATTAGAAGTATGCAAATTTAAGAATCATGAAATGTAATGACTTTAATGGTTTGTGTACAGTACTATGAAGAGGTGAAAGTTTCTTATTTATGGAACCTTTACTAATAGAAACACAGGATTATATATGTTCAAATATAAGTAATCTAAAATAAATGTTTGGGTATATGGTTTGATTTGCATACAATACTCATGCAAATCTATAAACAGAATTCTAAGCAGTAACATATTTATATATTTAGGTGATTAAACACATGTAAGAATCGCATGGTTTTAGCCAATAGTAAAAGATAACTGGGGATAATTTTTATATGGTTCTAATAACAGACGACTGAAGAATGTTTATATAAGAACAGATGATTGAAAACATGTGAGTACAAAACCTGGTTAGTCACGAAAGAACTGTTAGTAGTGAATGCTTTGTTGACGCCCGTATACCTAAAGTGAGTGGAGGAGTGTGTAGTGAGGTGCGTGTGTGTTTCTTTTTGGACTCCACGTGTATGTGGGTCACTGGGTGCATTGATGTATTCGTTTGTGTTGTCACTGTGTGTGTGTGTGTTTGATTGTATGGGGATGCGCCAGTAACCGAGTTTGTATATAAATTCAGATATGTCTTTGTATGTGGTGTGGCTAACCCAGTGTATACGCCGTGTTCCAAATACAACCAAGTACCATTAACACAACTTACCTAAAGTTTTCGTAATGTGTTGATGTCATTATCTGTGTGGCAGTATAGTGGAGCTCTGGCTAGTTGCCAAGAACGTGTCATCCGGCCGACCAGACAAGGTTTTGCTTCCTGGAAAGTAATTTTAGACAGCAGGAAAGTTACTGATTACAGATATTAAGTCACAAATCGTACCTTCGACATCCTCCTTTGCCCTTCAAAATCTACGCACGCTTGATGCATTAATTTGTCCTCACTTCCTAGCGATGAATCTGGAAGTAGCAATCAAGCAGTGTTGTGGAGAGACTCGTACCGCGGTAGCCGAAATAGACTGCTGATAATATCGGAGGCTAAAAATATCTCACCATTTGCAGAACAAGTTTTTTTTTTCGTTACAAATACCTGAGTGTGTGTGTGTGTGTGTGTGTGTGTGTGTGTGTGTGTGTGTGTGTGTGTGTGTGTGTGTGTGTCGCCCACATGCCATGGCTGTGGGTACGATGTATGAATTCACAAGAGAAATAAGGCTACTTGGGTAAAAAAAATTCTAAAAGTAAAGTTAACATTCCCAATTAATAGTCAACGTAAGGAAGTCAAGTAATTGTTTTAATTACTTTCAATACGACACACACACACACACGCTTAGGGATTTTAGTTTATTTTCTCAGACTAACCAGTAACGTATACCCAGTTAGAACGGGACACCTGTATGGACGACTACGTAGGGTATAATTTGTTTACAGTGATGGTAGTAGAGTGTGGCAGCCTCGCGCGCCCACGGTCGACCCACTGCCCCACTGGACATGGTGTTTTTCTCCACATACATACACACACCGCACTTCCTTTTTGAACTGTTTTGGTGCAGTTGAGTTACCCGGAGAAAAGTGCAAGTAGGAAAGATCATGTAAGTTTGTTTATGTCATTAAGACCCGAATCATAAAGTAGCTTTTACCATAGGGAGTTATTTTACTTGAGTAGCCATCCCGGAATCGGAAATCGTGACGTGAACAAGCTGACTGTGAAGCATCACATGAAATATTACGGTATATTTATCTCTTTATGAAGACTAAGCACCATTTTGAACGTCGTTTTCGAGGTTCAGATATAAAAATTCTCATAACATCAGTTACACGGAAAAGTTAACCTATCAGAACGATTTTCTTGGACGAGTCTTGACTGTACAGTATTGCTATACTGCTTCATCCACTTATTTGCCTATAGGATCGACAATGAAAAAAGAGTAGGCCTAAAGCTGCACAGGAACAATTACTTTTACTTCGCTTAACAAGTATTTTCTATCGTTATTCTTCAGAATTAAGAATCTCTGGTCTCTGCAGTGTCTCGGCGGGGAATTTACCCACCTCCCGTGACAACCTTGTTACTAGAGGCATTTCTGAACCAGGAGTTGCTGCCTTAAGAGTTCGTACGTTAAATAT